TTTCTATTTCTTGCCCTCTCCCTTCCTCTCTCTAAAATCAATAAAGAAAAAAAATTTTTTTAAATACTGGTTGACAATCCATAGTCTAAGTGGATTGACTAAGTGGAATGACTGCTCTGAGAAATCACAGAATTAGAGACTACAGTCAAATGAAATTGGACTGGATAAAACAGTGGGAACTGTAAGAGAAGAGCACAGTACCATGCAATCATTTAACAAATACAGCCTACTATGGGCCAAGCGCAGTACTAGACGCTGGGTTTGTGACAAACTCAGCCAATAGTCAATGCCCTTCGCAATTTTACTCCTAGCTCACAGATGAGGTAGGTTCTTGAGGCTTCAAGATAAATATGACATATTCCTGGGGCTTTCATTTTAATTGAAGAAGGAGTGGGAGTGGGAAGACATAATTTATATGGCAATTTAAATTTTTTATTAAAAACATCAAGAAGGAAGGATGTGCAAAATCTTTATGGATTAAAATAATAAAGACAGTTTTACTCTTGGAAGAGTCGATTTGGGCTATAGTTCCAGATTGGCATGCATAATTTGCTCTCCTCTGCGTCTAGGTTGATGATTCTTTACATTTAGCTTGCATAAAAAGCATTGGAGGGAACTTGTTAAAAACAGATTCCAGGGCCCTAGAGATTCTGAAACAGCAGGGCTGTTGTGAAGCCTGGAATTGGCTTTAGAAAAAAACCTCTTGGGAGATTCCAACGTAGTAGTGGTGGTCTATAGATCCTTCTTTAAAAAAAAAAAAAAAAAGTTTTTTTTTCTTAATCCTCACCCAAGGACATTTTTCCATTTTTGTTCAGATAGAGCAGGAGGGAGAGAGAGGAAGAGAGAAACATCAACATGAAAGGGACACTTGGAGTGACTGACTGTCACCCACACGACCCAACCAGGGCCAGGGACGAACTGCAACTGAGGTACATGCCCTTAGCAGAAAAGGAACCCTGGTCTCCCTAGACTGCAGGCCGACGCTCCAACCACTGAGCCAAAGGAGCTAGGGCAGTTTTTTTTTCTTTACTGACTTTTAAAGAGAGGTAGAAACATCAATAAGAGATAACATTGATTGGCTGCCTTTTGCATGCCCCCTACTGAGGATCAGGCCTGCACCCTGGGCGTGTGCCCTGACTGGGAGTCAGGGCCAGCGACCTCTTGGTGCATGGGTCAACGCTCAACCACTGAGCCACACCAGCTGGGCTATGGATCTTTCTTTGAGAGGCCTTGCCTTAGGCAGTGGTTCTCAACCTTCCTAATGCCACAACCCTTTAATACAGATCCTCATGTTGTGGTGACCCACAACCATAAAATTTTTTTCATTGCTACTTCATAACTGTAATTTTGCTACTGTTATGTCTTAGGTGACCCCTATGAAAGGGTCTTTCGACCCCCAAAGGGGTCGCGACCCACAGGTTGAGACCCGCTGCAGGGGTTCTTCAGAAGTTTCAGAAGGCAATATATTTAAAAGGGGAACTCGCAAAGTGAATTGTGGCAACATTTCTCCATTAAAGAATGATTGTTGTTTTTTTTTTTGCATTCTATTACCAGTCTCTCTGAATACTGCCAATTTAACATACTTGCAAACTATAGACATTAATTCCAGATCAGTACTGTATAGCAGGTAAATTTTAGGGAAAAAAGTCCTTGAGAAACTCTTGTCAGATATTTTGCTAAAATGTTTGCTGTAGCAGGCTGTCCTCATTCAGATTTCCCAGCTAAGTTGGGAATCTCACAGCTTTTTGTTTTGATAACTTTACATTATACATGAATGTGTAATGCATGGCTTGGAATTTGGCTTAGAGTTGTATCTACCCCTAAAACTAGAATTCTATTTGTTGTCTTTGTATCTTTTAAGGATGTCAATGCTTTCCATTCGAAGACCACCAGGAACACACCTGTAGTTGGATAAATTTGGGTTCATTGGCTTATTGCAACAAAGGAGAATGCTTACCATGGGGAAACTGTGAGGTGTCTCAGAAAGAGGATGTTAGGAGTGACATGGGATTTGGCCTTGTTTTGTGATTTCGGGAAGGTTCAAAGAAGCGTTGCTCTGGATTGGGTTGCTGGCAGGAAGTGGTGATAATTCTATGACAAAGCATCTTAATTCTTACCTAAAATACAAGAAGAATGGGATTAGGCTAAAACTAATGGGTAAAGAAGTGTGACAGTCATGCCCTGGCCGGTTCGCTCAGTGGTTAGAGCATTGGCCTGTGGTCCAGAGAGACCCGGGTTCTGTTCCTGCTAAGGGCACGTACCTTGGTTGCAGTTTGTCCCCGGCCCTGGCTGGGTCGTGCTGGAGGCAGCCACTCAGTGTGTCCCTTTCACGTCGATGTTTCTCTCTCTCTCTCCTTCCCACTCTATCTGAACAAAAAATGGAAAAATGTCCTCGGGTGAGGATTAAAAAAAAAAAAAAGTGACAGTCACATATTAGCCAGGATAGGAGGAGGCCGTTAGGTCATTTTTGTGGTTTGGGCAATGTTGATGTATTTTTTTCTGTGTTCAGATATGATTATGAGTGTGTGGGGTCCACAATGCCTCGGTTGATGTTGGTGTTCTGTAAAATTGTTTATGTTTAACTGGAGAGCACAATTGTTATTGGTGAAAGTGGGGTATCCCTTTTCCCACGGAGTGCTGGTGGTAGAGTCCTTACGATATCTTGAGAAAAAGAATTTTCTGAGACTTGCATGGGAGGATGAATGATTTTTATTTCTGTAGAATTATATCTCTGGGTTTTTATTTTATTTTATTTACCCTCACCCGAGAACACCGTTGCATTCATCTTCAGATAGAGCGAGAGGGAGAGAGGAAGAAAGAGAGAGTGAGAGAAACGTCCATGTGAGAGAGACATGTCAACTGGCTGCCATCCACACAACCCCAACTGAGGCCGGGACAAACTGCAATCAAGGGTGTGTGCCCTTAGCAGGAACTGAACCCGGGTCTCTCTGGACCACAGGCTAATGCTCCAACTGCTGAGCCAAACCAGCCAGGGTTAACTCTGAGTTTTTTAAGTCCCATTTCCCTTAGTCCAGTCATAGAAGATGTGCAGCTGGGGATTCAGTGGAGCTAAAAGCAAAACCAGTGTTCAGAGTGCCTGTTCCATGTTGCCGCTGGGTTCAGTTCAGCATCAGGCTATTGTAGTCCGTTAGACCATTGTGTGTGGGTGAATGCAGGGGGGGAGGCGAGAGAGTGTGCCCCCTGCAACAAGGGTCCCAAGAGAACCAACAGCACAAAAGAGCAAACTCCTTTATTCAGGGAGTTACGTATCTCAAATCTTCCTGTCCCTGCAGTGGCCATGCCCATTCTGGCCAATGACCTATTCCCAGGTGTGAGTGACAGGCACATACCTTCCCTATGTCACCCAGACTTTACTGGACATGTGTTTATTCTCCCCACTGTCCAGTCCCTTCCCCCAGCAGTCTGCTGGGAATAGACTGGTGGCTCCCTAGAGAGGGTAAAGCTGTAGCTTTCTGGTGAAGCTGCCCAAACAACATGCCTATAATATTAGGCCTTCTCTTGTTACTCTTCTTTTATTAATGACTGGGTTAATTACAACAGTATCATGATGACGCAGTTGTGCCAGGCCAGCTCCAGGCTTTTAGGGCCTGCTTTTCTCTTCCTCAGGGTTAAAATTAAAATAAAGGGAAAATGTTATTTTATGGGTATGAACAGAATCTAGACACATCCAAAATACCACAATAGTTATGTGTGGACAAGCCTGAGAGGCAGCTCAGTGTAGGGGAATAAGACTGGGATTACTTTTCCTATTTAGTCCCCAAATTGCCCTGTGAACCTGACAATAACATTAACAGCTTCCATTTGCTGAAGCCTACATGCCTTGATGTGTCCTAGATGCGTTAGACATATACAACCACTTTACAAGCAAGTAATTTTTGATCATCCCCATTTTTTCAGACAAGTAAACAATAATCCTAGAACCACCTAGTTATTAAGTGGAACTGCTGGTATATTAAGGGGCTCTATGCATTCCGAACTTACTCAGTCTCCACTACACCAGGGTGCCTCAGAACTCCGGTCCCTGTAGGTATAGCACTGGAGCTATAGTACGTACTTGGCAGGACAGTTCTGAGGCGCAAATGCTAGCACGTGGTGCAGTAACTGTTCGTGGCAGACAAGCCATAACTAAGTTTTCATCCGGGAGGTCCTCCGATTGTGAGTACAGATGAACTGATTAGTGGCCTATGTAGAGTGACTTCAGACCATTTTACTCTTTGGTCACAGAAGTCAGACTGAAAAAAAAGTCTTGGTGCCACAGATTCAGAGTTTAGAGCTCCAAGACGCGTCAAGGCCATGTCTCACAGAGGAGGGAAAGGAAGGTGTGCAAGGCACTGGAGGCACCCAGTGTCACAGTGTCGGAGCGAGGCGGAGAATCCAGGCCTTCTCACTCCCGGGCCCTTTATTTTTCAGGCCACAGTGCTGCTCCCCTCCTGTATGCAATCTCACAGTTAGGAGTTTCTGAACGTCGTTACTCCGTGCACTCAGCCGCTGAACTCTTTCGAGACGGGTTTGGGTAGCGTTCCTCCCGGGAGCTCGGGCTCCGGTTCCGCGAGTGGTGGAGACGACCCGGGAGGAGGGGCAGGGTTTCCTCGCAGAGCCCCAGCCTAGGGTCCCCCGCGGCCCGGGGGCGCGGCCCCGCCCCGAGAGGGCACGGGGGCGGGGCGATCGCGTCCTTCTCGCGAGGCGGCGGGAAGGAGGAAGGCTGGGCCGAGGTGAACCCGGGCGGAGGAGCCGGCGACTGCTGCAGCGGCCCGCACCATGTCCGCGCACAACCCGGGCACGGAGCTCGGTAAGGGCCCCTCTCCTCGCCTCCCGCGCCCGCCTCCAGCTTCCTGCCTGCCGCCTCCTCCCGGCCAGCGGGCTCGCCGCCGCCGGAGCCCCGGTCCCACGCGGGCGCTCGCTCCCACCGCGAGGCCGAACCCGGGAGGACTGACTCTCGGGGTGTTCCGCCGGCCCCGACGCCCAGGCCTTCTTTTGCTAAGCGGAAGGAGTAGGAAAGGGCTCCACTTTCATCTGCCCATTTACCCCTTCACCGTCTAGCTCCTTGGTGGCAACGAACAAGATCCCGGACCCCAAACAAACAAAACCGGTGGGAACCTCCCTTGCCCACTTCCACCAGAAGCCCGGTGGATCCGATGCTGGGTTTCCACGGGGCACTTTCACAGCGGTATCCCCAGAGGGGTCTTGCTGGCGGAAAAGCCAGGCCTCTGTACTGCATAACCTACAGAAAACTGCGTATGATTGTAGGTACGAAGATTTGTAAAAGGGCCCCGTGAATGGTTTTACCATTTTTTATTTCATTGATAATATTAAATACTACTGGCAAGAAAACTTAGTTCTGATTTGTGAAAAATGTGTAATTCAAACAGCAAAGTCATGATCGTCCAAAGGTTGAGGATCTCGGTTTAAGCATTATAGCCTCGAAGTCTATATCCTGGATCTTGAATTCAGCTGTGTGACCTTGGGCACATTAGTTACTCAGTGCTTAAATTTCTTGATCTGTAAAATGTTTATAATAGTATTTACCTCATACAGTGGTTTGGCGATTAAATGAGAGAATGTAAAGTGTGTGATACATTGTGGATACTTATAAAGCGTTAAAAAATAATAGTGTACATAGAGAGTTCTGTTTTTAGGGCCTGATTTTGAGAAAATTACGTTTAAGTTATATAGACATACAGGTACTTTTTTCCCCTTTAAAAGTTTCTGTTCTAATTAAACAATCTAGATGTGGTCTAGAACTTACAGTTGATTTCCTTGCCAAATTGATTCCCCTCTTATGAGATTATGTTTTAAACTCTAGTTCTATCTATGGAATGTGGACTTCAGTAATAAAGGAATATTCCCTAGGTTGGAAGATCCTGAAAGATGGGGGCTGGGGGATAGGGATGGGGTGCAGGTCTTACCTGATAGCTTCAGGAATGGGACGGTGAGACTTTGTAACAGAGGATGCACCATTATTTCCCCTAAACTTAGAAGTTTATTATTATTTTCTTTCAAGAAGTACAGTTAAGTGCTCGCTTCGGCAGCACATGTACTAAAATTGGAACGATACAGAGAAGATTAGCATGGCCCCTGCGCAAATTCGTGAAGCGTTCCATACTTTTTTAAAAAAGAAATACATTTAAGCCATTTTTACTTTCTTTTTCAAAAATTTGAGATAATTGACATTTTTGCGTTCTTAATTTGCAAGAATTAGAATCATTTCCATTTGTTGAAAAGAAACAGTATAGACAAAAGCAATTGCTATGTAGAATAATAGTAAATGTGTTTTTTATGCAGTGATTTAAGTGATCATAGTTTTGTTTGATTTTCTTTTAAAAAAAAATAAAATCAGATACACAAGAGTGTTTTTCCTTCACTGATATTAATCATTAATCTATACAGGGATTTAGCATAAATTCTAAAATAAGTTACTTGAATTATTTATGTACTAGGAAAGAAATAATTCACTACTAATGTATGCAGTGGGTTATCTGGTATCTAATATAGTTTTCTAATTAAGTCTTTTAAAATATTATAATGTTTTAAAAGAAATTTTTCTTTTACAAGAGGAACTCATGTTTATTGGAAAATTTTTAGAAAATACAGTTAGCACAAAACCAAAAATTATTACTAATCCAATCCTATTTTATATTTTAATGTATATACTGCTAGTCAATAGATTTAAAAAAAAAAAAAAAAAAAGAGGTTTATTTGATACCGACCCTCATGATAAAACCCGTCAAGGAAAATGTTCTTTTACATAGCATTTGGATATGTGAAAGAAAGAACAAACCCTCTGACTTTAATGTTAACTTTAATGTCAGTGATTAATGATGATGATGAGTACTGTGTGCATAAGATTTTTTCTACTTAAAATGTTAATTTCTGATTTTCTCCAACTCAAACATGAAGCTAAAAAAACCTCTTTTTTTGGGCAATGTTTGCCCTATGTGAGTGGATGAGAGCTTGAGTGGTTTGTAGTCAGAAGGAAAAAAACCCTAAATTTGGAACTCCCACTGAGTAGCCCATGGCTCTGGCCAAGCTACTTGATTTCTTTGATCTAGATCAGTGGTTCTCAAAGTGTGGCCCCTGAACCAACAGCATTCACATTATTGAGGAGCTCGTTTAAAATGCAGATTCTCAGGCCCCATGGAGATCTTAATGAATCAGAAGCTCCTGGGTTGAGGCCCAGCATTCTGAGTTTTAACAAGTGTTCTGGGTGGTTCTGAAACACACCCAAGTTGGAGAACCACTGGCGTAGTGATCTCTGGCTCTGTGGCGTGCTTCTGGCTCTATGTGTCCTATTAAAATGGACCGAATCTCTTCTCTTTATTCTAGATGCCTCTGAAGTTTTACCTACAGTGTAGGGGCAGCATGAGCAGTGATGTTTCTTCTGTTCACTGATGTACCCCAGGCACCTAGAATAGTGTCTGGCACAGAGAAGGCCCTCAAACATCTGTTGAATGAAGGAATGGATTTAAAACTACTTGTTTGGCAGAGTTTAGGCAATCACCTGGGCAGATGTTGTAAAGTACTGGAACCTCTCCCTCTTTTCTGAGTATCATTGAAATTCAGTTTTGTTACTTCTCTCTTTAAAGATATCTTAAGAGGCTTATGAGGGATATTGATAGAGTAGTTTCCTTTCAAATGTTAGTTTCTTTAGAGGCATCTATAAATGGGGGTGTTGCATTAGGTGACTTCAAGGATCTCCCTGCCCTGTATTTGTATACCTGTAAGCTCTTGTGTGCAAAAAGGAAAATTTAAAGGATATCTGAAAAACAGGAAAAAGTAATTGAAGACTGATTTTTTAATTGGGAGAGATGGAGACTATTCTGTGGATTTCCTGTATTGTGTTAACAAGAGATTGTTTTAGGCATATATCCATAAATTGAAATCATCAGAGATCACCATTACTAGGAATGTAAAGATTATTTTGCTCTGTATAGGCGCTTTCTGTAATCCAAGTCAGAACAAAGAAAGAGCAGTTTATTTGTTTCAAACATGTTAAAGGAGATCAGCTTTGGCTTGTTGCCATCTGAGAACCATGATGGGATTTTGTATTTTACAAACCACATTCAAGAAGTAGTTATTGAGTATCAATTGTGTACTATGTCTTACTACCCTGGGTTCTGGGCATAAAAGGTGGACAAGGATAGTCTCCGCTTTTAAGGAGATAGATCTGGTTCAATATCTGGGCATCAAGCCAGAGCTATAATGAAAATAATTGCAAATATGATATGTAATTATTTTCCATTTTTGTCTATTTAAGAAATTAGATGTCTCTGGGAGTAGTACTTTGAAACTGTTTAGGTATCCTGTTACCCTGCAAACTTCAATTTATTTATGTTTGTTTATATTAGTATGTATTTGAGGTTTCCTGTTTCCCAATGGGTTATAATTGTTACTGTTATTATTTAATATTCAAATTGTTTCACATTTCGTTAATGGGACCCCCTTCAGCCTGGCTTTTCTCTGTTGTTTTGTCATGCTCCATTATTTTAAAAGTACTTCCTTATCTTCTAGTTTAACAGATATTCCAGGCTTATTTTATTCTTTCCCTGTCCTCACATTGGAGTCAAGGAGCATTTCTTTCAGTGGATAATGGATTTAGAATCCAAGCTGGAGCATGTATGTACTACACACACACACACACACACACACACACACACACTCACTCTTCTGTATTTATCTACCTGTCATCTGTCTATAGCTCTATATAGTGAAAACCGTGAATTCACATGAAACATGCAGTTCCAGTCCAACACCACAGGCTTTATTCCATTTTTCCCCCTTTCATATTTGAAACTCACATCCTGGGCGATACATACCCCACCCCAGTAGACATTCCTTTCAGTTTTCCAGGCTCTGACTCCCTTTTTCTGCTTGGGCTCTAACTCTCTGCACAGGCAGCTGACTTCTTTGATGCCCCCAGTAGGTCTATGGCAGTCTGTCAAGCTGTGTCCCCATGTAGATAGCTTCCTCATCATGCTCGTCTTTACTTCCCTAATTTGGCTGCCCTTTGTGCAGACTCCCTCTGTGTTATGAGTGGACTGTGGGCTACCCCTGTGTATGAGTGTCCCCTCACTTGTTTAGGCCCCTGTACCCCTCTGTGGGCCATAGTGGCTCCCCACCTTGGCCTGGCTCGAGTGTGTGCCTTGCTCACATCCCCTTCACCCCACACCAACATTTAGAACAATTGTTCAGGAAGTGAGAAGGGACCAGAATAAAATTTAAATTTATTTTAATATATTACACACATTTATATAAAAAAATTTTTAAAAACAAACTTAGGTGGAGTGCCCACTGTTCCTGGCACTTGTTATTTGTTGCTCATGCTGATGGTTGGGGTACCAAAGTGAGCATAACCCGGTCTCTGCTCTCCTGGAGCTCATAGTCAGCTAAGGAGACAGTTTTAATCATTACAGAAAGAAAAGTGACCATAGAGTGGTCAGATTGGAGAGGAGTTCACAGACCCTAGGGGAGGTCTTCTGGGAAAGGGTATTTTTGATGGGGGGCGGGGAGGAGTAGTTTCTGCAGAGAAACTGAGCAAAACCAGTCTGGCACATTTTATTAACTATAGGAACCCCATTTTCAGATTTCCCTTGTAATCTTCTCACTTTGCTCTAATGACAAAGAGTAATATTTTATTGAATAAAGAAGAAAACTCATATTCCGTATATTCCGTATATACACACAGTCAACACAATGATTATGGACATTTTTAGATTTTAAATTGGGCATCCTTTTATGAAACCAACTTTGATTTAACTTAGAAGTCTTTTTCTGTTTGATTATAAGCATGACTGATGAGGTTGTGTTTTATTATTCTGATACTGTTGATAAATAGGAAAAAACTACAAAGTAATCACTTGGGTTTGTTGTATAATTGAATAACTAAAAGTCCTCCATGGTGCCTGCTAAGTTAAAAAGACAATTTTTTTAAACGCACCTAAGCCCTACGGGTTTTAATTGTTAGGAAGGAAAAACGAACTTCAAGCACTCATTTAAAACAGGATGCCTTTGCCAGGAAAGAAAGACTAATAAATGAGACAGCAGATGGAGCCCTTGAGGATGCGCTGTGAGCGTGTCACTAGAAATTGTTTAAGTGGAGAGCTCTGGCCCTTTTAAAACACTCTCTGTCACTTGAGGATTAGGTCACCTTGAAATGTGTTCATCTTTGAGTTAAAGGCATAAAAAGGCACTTTGAAATTTTCAGTTAACTTTGGTGTGTGTTGTGTGCGTGTCTGCGGATGGACTTCTCC